GTTTAACGGATCTATTGACTTGACATATATTTGAATAAACCCAAATTTGGGGAGAAATGATTCTTTTCTTACCTAGTGGTTGACAAAATGAACTTACAAATTGAATGATCAAAGATTTTGAACGAAACATTCATACGAGTCGAAAAAGTTTGGAGAAATGACAGTTATATAAAGTCAAATTTATTGAGAAATGATTCTTTTCGTACCTAAGGGTAATAAAACCGAGGCAGCATGCTTCGCAAATTCAATGGACAAAGATTGTGATCGAATAATATTCAAAGGTTAGGCTACGTTTGGGAGCCATTCGCTCTTCAAATAATAATTTTTTTCTTTCATATCAAGTGGGGTCTATGACTGGAAAGAGATACAAAAAAAGTGTGATTTGACATAAAGAATGCATTTTTTTGTAGAAAAATAGTTACCAAGCGGAGGTTAATTCAAGTAAAAACTTCTTACTCATTCGATTGAGATTAGAGAAGCAATTGTATATTTAAAGCCAAAATTGTGGAGCAATGATTATTGTCCGACCTAGTGGTGATAAATTGGAGTAGACTTGTGTGAAAAGGTGAACGACTAATTTAATGATCAAAGATTCTGATCGAGCATGTGAGAACTTCTTTACGCATTTAGTTGAGAAATTTTTGGAGGTAGCATCTATTGTTTTTACTTTTTAGTATGTAATGATGGAAGAAGAGTCTGTATTCAGGTGGGGGTGGTAGGACGAGGAATGGGTCGAAGGTGGGGGTATGAGGGTTTTATTTTAAAATATCAACCTTGTTAAAAAGAAGTAGTTTACATTTTAATGTTAGTTATTGTTTCTATATTTAAGCAACGTGAAATTTTACACTTAACATGCTCTTAAAGGCCTGGGAGTTTATGAGCAGATTAGTTTTGAGTGATTTTAGAAGCTGATGCTACCAAAAATTGTACATGTCAACTTTCGAGCTTGACGATTGAGAATGAGCACGAACGGGATTTTTCAGTACCTGAAACAAAGGCGTCGAGGTGTGTCATCGTTGCTCCTTTAATGCTTAAGTCAGAGAGAGAATATGAAAATAGTATATGCTGTAAATTGTGTGTAAAAACATACCTTAATAATGGGCTGGGATGAAGTATTTATAGAGGTTGGTGACACTGTCCTAGTAGGATCACAATGTTGAGATCGTTAGGAGTTCTAACGTGACTAGAAGTTTTCACTTGATTGGTTTCATATTATCCACCTGTTTGGATAGAAGTGGAATTCTGGTGGTAAAATCCTTTTAGGATGAAGTAACTTACCATCACTAGGACTCCCTTTCTTTTCGAGGAATATGTATGACCTAAACATTAGATGTCCCGAGGAGTTATGATCGAGGAGGTCACATGTCCATTCAGCCGAGTGGAGACCTTGAGCTCGAGCATCATGCTTGAGCTCTTACCAAGTTTGGTATCATCAGAAGCGATTTTAAAATTGTTCAACTTATACTTGAGAATTTATTTTCCACCGTTTCTAAAAGTTTTTTAAAAGAATAAAATTTTCAATTTATAGTTTCTAGTATGAATTTTCTTACTCATAAATGATATTTTACTTATAAGTATTTTTTTTACATATAAGTTAAAAGTTAAAAAATTAAATAAAGTTAAATATTTACTTAAAATTTTAAGTTAAAATTTTTTACTTATAGGTAAATTTTATAATTAAAAGTTAATTTTATACTTGAATTTTTTACGTATAAGTAATTTTTTATATTTTATAATTGAATTTTTATTTTATTAGTAGTATTTTATTATATAAACAATTTTTTTTTACATAAAAGTGATTTTTTACTTATAAGTAATTTTTAATTATAATGAGTTTTTCTTGTCTTATAAGTAATATTTTGCTTATAAGTAAAATATTTTACTTATTAGGTTTTTTTTTTTTTTTAATTTATAATGTAATTTTTTGACTTATAAATAATTTTTATTTATAAGTTAGATTTGAAGAAAATGTTGATTGAACGGCCGAAGTTTCATTCTTGCAAATGTACTTTCCGGATGGGATACTTAATGTGTTAGTTACAGCACTGCACGTAGAATACCAAAAAGAGGGTTATTCATGTTCAAGGCCAGTGAGACGATGGGGGATAAAGTTCATCGTCGAGAGGGAAACAACCCATATCACCAGCTAAGGCTCCTAAATGATCGCTCGGTGATAAATGAGGTAGGGGTGCAGAGACAGTCAGGAGGTTGTTTAGAAGCAGCCACTCTTGAAAAAGTGCGTAATAGCTTACTGATCGAGCGCTCTTGCGCCGAAGATGAACGGGGCTAAGCGATCTGTCGAAGCTGTGAGATGTAAAAATGCATGAGTAGGGGTGCGTTCTGCCTTAGAAGAAAGACCCCGCGCGAGTGGATGAAGCGGAAGCGAGAATGTCGGCATGAGTAACACAAACATTGGTGATAATCCAATGCCAACGTAATAATTAGGGTAATATCCATCCTATATGAATTTGAAATCAATAACCAATGTATTAACTATTAAGGATTTGGACTACTCATTTTACAATATTAATCTACTAATCTCAACTTCCTACACGTGCCTATTAATTTTTGCACCTAAATATACTATTCAAAGGAAGAAAATAACAATTAAATTTGTCCTTGTCTGGCCATTCTTTCATCGTAGATTCATAATCAGGACAATTATATTAGAAGTTTCGCTGTCATTTCTTTATATATGTGAGAGAGAGAAAGAGAGAGAGCATATATATTGTAGAAACGGTCCATATTTTTACTTAGTCAATTTTTTAGATTTTTTTAAATGCTTATATTTAATTAATAATTTGGAAAGTTGGAAATGAAAATTATGCATGGGAGACTTAAAAGTGAGTAAAAATCTGGTTCAGAAGGGGAAAAGTGGCATTTGACTTGGTTTAAGATGGAAAAGTAGCATTTGAGGTCCTGCTATCCTTGTCTAAACCTCAGGATTGTGCCTCAAGAACAAGTTCCTCAGGATCCTCAGTTGGAGCTTCTTTTTCTGAAAGTTTACCTGGGACAGCTAATGAAAGTCCGGACTTGAGTGGATGTTCAAACTCTTTGGTTAAGGTAGGGGGAAAGAAAGCTATTGTTTTCTCACAAGTCACAATGGACGGGGATGTTGAATTTGCTCGAATCTTGTTTGAAGGACTCTACCAATCAATACATGAGACTTGATGGAACAATGTCTGTTGGTGCCAGAGACAACGCCGTGAAAGATTTCAATACCAATCCCGAGGTTCGTTGGATTATTTTCATCTTGTATAAGGNGAGGTACGTTGGATTATTTTCATTTTGTATAAGGAATTCATGATTTATATCTTCAAAGGACTAAATTGTGGAATTTTGTGCCAGGTTACTGTTATGATAATGTCTCTGAAAGCTACAAGTCTTGGACTGAACATGGTTGCTGCTTGTCATGTCCTCCTCCTGGACCTGTGGTGGAACCCAACCACTGAAGATCAAGCCATTGACAGAGCACACCGTATTGGGCAGACACGTCCGGTTTCAGTTTTGCGGCTGACAGTGAAAGATACAGTAGAAGATCGCATTTTGGCTCTTCAGGTATATTTCTGTAATTTTATTTAAATTTCCATCTCAATTTTTGTTTCTGATATGGAAACCGGCAGCTAAAAAGGGAAGAAAATTGACGTGAAAGTGCTTTAACATTTGACATCATATATGGTACTCGGTTGTCATTTGTTGTGTAATAACTCTCCAATGTTTGGTGTTTTCCAGCAAAAGAAGAGGGTGATGGTTTCATCTGCATTTGGAGAGGATGAGACTGGTAGCCGTCAAACACGGCTTACTGTGGATGACCTGAAATATCTATTCATGGCTGATTAAACACTTCTCAGGGATTCAGCTTGGTACTTCATTTATATTCTTTATTAGCTCTAATCATAGCAGCAGCATTTTCTCGGTGAAGCTTCGAAATAGATCCATAGAATTAGCAAAGAATAGACGACCTTAGTTCACAGCATGATCTCATGGATTATCTTTAAAGGATTTTCGGACCGAGAAATTGTATATTTTTATTTTTTGAACAAGGGATTTTCATTTTCAGTGTATAGCGAATGAAGTTCTGTCAATTGCACTGTCAAAAGATTGAAGTCTTCGAGGAATGTTGAAAATTCTTTTGATTGTATTTTAATTGGCTAAAAACCTCACTATTTTCTGTGCAGAATTTTCAATTGACTCGATCTTGTTTTTTTATAATACTGTCGTATTTTTCTTTGGTCTTCTGCTTGTCGTCTTATATTCAACATTTTCCCCGTGTGAATGAATATAAACTTCACCTCGTTGGTACATGTTTAGTATATAGTATTAGAATTATAATACTAATAGTATTATCTAATTAACCTTACCAAACGTACCATCAATTTATTTGGAGTTAAATCAGCACCATTTTCATAAATGAATTCGGATTAGAGAGCAGTATTAGACTATTAGGAATATAAACTCAAATAATCTACTTTGGATAGTAACATTTGTTACTAAATTGTTGGGTTTTTAATACCCAATAAATTCGAGCGATGATGTTAAACCGATTTTATAGTTTGGATTAGACTTCATAGGCCTCGGTTGATGATTGAAGTGAAAAGTCGACACCACAATGAACGGACCACTCCGACAACCTAAGTGGGTCATTAGAAGTAGCATAATTAATTAGAGTTGCTCATGGCCAAACCCAATTACCTTGGACGGCTTTTTGGTTGGAGGCCCATTTAGTGTTACTTATTGGGCCACTTATGTTTGACCTAGAAGACCACTTATTTGGTTTATAAGTGGGTCGGTTTTCTTTGTCTAGCCCTAGTGTGAATTCTTGGAGCCGTGAGTTTCAGGAGAGAAAAGAGAGTTTTGCTTTGTGCTTCCTCTTGCTTTGTGGTATCTTCTCCTCCTTCTCTTAACCTTAGCGGCTAGTTAGGGCTACCAAAGATCACTCACACTCAGGCTTTGTGGCACCTTGGAGCGACCGGTTTGGTGGTTGTAGCTTTGGAGATTCGGCTGTTCATTGTAGTGTTGATTGGGTGGTTTATCTGAGCTCGATTTTGGTGAAATTGAAGGCCCAAATTACAACATATGGTATCAGAGCAAGTTGGTGGTGGTTTAGGTTTCAAATTTTGATAAGAAAAATACCAGAAATCGGCAGAGAACTGAAGCAAAATTCTGGACAGATTTTTGCAAGAAAATTGGACCTGCAATTGGATTTTTTGGCCAAACCATTGACCATTTGAAAAATCTAAGACCACCAGTGTGTTCAGCAGGTCGAGGAGCTAGTGGGTGACTGGCGCTTTGCGGGGCTTGGAGCATTTCTAGGCCAAACTCTCTTCAGGCAGTTTGTTCATTTTAATTTCTTGAACGTACTGATATTTTTGCTTTCGTGTTTCGGGTTACGTAGGAAAAGTTGAACGATTTTGCTTTTGCGTTCGTAATTCAATTTTCGCTCGATTGTTTGCTGTAGTTGCTGAATACTTTAGGGCGAATACAAAGAACGCATTTTTTTGTAGAAAAATAGTTACCAAGCGGAGGTTAATTCAAGTAAAAACTTCTTACTCATTCGATTGAGATTAGAGAAGCAATTGTATATTTAAAGCCAAAATTGTGGAGAAATGATTATTTTCCGACCTAGTGGTGATAAATTGGAGTAGACTTGTGTGAAAAGGTGAACGACAAATTTAATGATCAAAGATTCTGATCGAGCATGTGAGAACTTCTTTACCCATTTAGTTGAGAAATTTTTGGAGGTAGCATCTATTGTTTTTACTTTTTAGTATGTAATGATGGAGGAAGAGTCTGTATTCAGGTGGGGGTGGTAGGACGAGGAATGGGTCGAAGGTGGGGGTATTAGGGTTTTATTTTAAAATATCAACCTTGTTAAAGAGAAGTAGTTTACATTTTAATGTTAGTTATTGTTTCTATATTTAAGCAACGTGAAATTTTACACTTCACATGCTCTTAAAGGCCTGGGAGTTTATGAACAGATTAGTTTTGAGTGATTTTAGAAGCTGATGCTACCAAAAATCGTATCTGTCGACTTTCGAGCTTGACGATTGAGAATGAGCACGAATGAGATTTTTTGGTACCTAAAACAAAGGCGTCGAGGTGTGTCATCGTTGCTCCTTTAATGCTTAAGTCAGAGAGAGAATATGAAAATAGTATATGCTGTAAATTGTGTGTAAAAACATACCTTAATAATGGGCTGGGATGAGGTATTTATAGAGGTTGGTGACACTGTCCTAGTAGGATCACAATGTTGAGATCCTTAGGAGTTCTAACGTGACTAGAAGTTTTCACTTGATTGGTTTCATATTATCCACCTGTTTGGCTAGAAGTGGAGTTCTGGTGGTAGAATCCTTTTAGGATGAAGTAACATACCATCACTAGGACTCTCTTTCTTTTCGAGGAAGATGTATGACCTGAACATTAGATGTCCCGAGGAGTTATGATCGAGGAGGTCACATGTCCATTCAACCGAGTGGAGACCTCGAGCTCGAGCATCATGCTTGAGCTCTTACCAAGTTTGGTATCATCATAAGCGATTTCAAAATTGTTCAACTTATACTTGAGAATTTATTTTCCACCGTCTCTAAAAGTTTTTTAAAAGAATAAAATTTTCAATTTATAGTTTCTAGTATGAATTTTCTTACTCATAAATGATATTTTACTTATAAGTATTTTTTTTTACATATAAGTTAATATTTAAGTTAAAAAATTAAATAAAGTTAAATATTTACTTAAAATTTTTTACTTATAGGTAAATTTTATAATTAAAAGTTAATTTTATACTTGAATTTTTTACGTATAAGTAATTTTTTATATTTTATAATTGAAATTTTATTTTATTAGTAGTATTTTATTATATAAACAATTATTTTTTACATAAAAGTAATTTTTTACTTTTAAGTAATTTTTAATTATAATGAGTTTTTCTTGTCTTATAAGTAATATTTTGCTTATAAGTAAAATATTTTACTTATTAGTTTTTTTTTAAATTTATAATGTACTTTTTTGACTTATAAATAATTTTTATTTATAAGTTAGTTTTGAAGAAAATGTTGATTGAAAATAATTATTTTATAGAGGGTAAAATTAGAAGATAATATGAGAAGCGACCAAAATTCATCGATTTGGAGAGTTGAGAGAACCGATCAAAATTACACTACATCGATTTTAAGTGAGTTTTAAACCTACCAAAATTGGTGTCCAAAAAAATTAACAAACACCACTTATTTTATTGAAAAATGAAAAAATGTTTTGAGTTTGTGTGTAATATTATTTTATTGAAAAATGTGTAGTTAAAAATAAAATAGAAAATAATATATTTTGAAAATAATGTGGACAAAATAGGGATTTCAACTTATTTTGAAGTTACTTAAAACCTTTATATAAGGGTTATTATTTCAATATCTAACCCTCAACAAAGCTATACTCCATTTCCGTAGGCAAAGATTGGCCTTCGTTGAAAGGATTATTCATTCGGATCAAGTGGGAAAAAAATGAAATAAAACGGATTATCAATCCCAATTGAATCCAAATTTCAGTTTAAAACTTAGGTAATGAACCTCTTTGGTTAACCCCCAAAATGGGATAGATCACAGATAATAAGGCATTCTCGTATGGCAAGAATACGACTTTTTAGGTCGACCACTACATAAGAGCAATAGTGAAGCCAAGCAGTATAAAGGCGAGCAACACTTATAATAGTAGCAAACGGCCTACAGTTTCATTCTTGCGAACGTATTTTTCGGACAAGATACTTAACGTGTTAGTTACAGCACTGAACATAGAATACCAAAGAGGGTTATTCATGTTCAAGGCCAGTGAGACGATGGGGGATAAACTTCATCGTCGAGAGGGAAACAGCCCAAATCACATAAAATTTCGTTTCTTGTGTCAAACGAGTAATGATTTTTGATCATGTTCATAAAAAATTCCTAGTCTTGGTTTCCGGTTGCAATATTTTTTAGGAAAGATTCAAATGGATGAATAAAATCAGTTCAAATAGGTATTTGAAGGTTCATTATTTTAGTTTATGAAGCTATATATCTTCAATCCGCTTAATTCTTAACAAATTAGTATTCACAATTTGTGAGGGGACTTTCCACCCCTTTGCGCGCCTGAGGTTTTCATTCCGTCGAAAATCGATTTTACGGTATAGACACTTATGACCTCCTCCTCTATGCCTTGTGTTTCAGGATTTTTCTTTGATAATGGATCAAATTGCACCAATATCATTCCGTTTTCTTCCATTTATTCCAATTAACCCTCCCTTTTGTTTTCTGACGGATCAATAATTCCCTGAACAAATCATATCCCTATTCAATAGATCACATAGAGCTGACGAATGAGGTGGGTTGATTAACAATTCACAAATGAAAAAATGGCAAAAAATAAAGCATCCACTCCTCTAAACATTGTTTTTTCCATCAAATTATGATGCACACTATTGGTTCCTCGCTAATTATAAACATTGTTTTTTCCATCAAAAGAGTCACATATTTTGCACGTGATAACTTATTTTCAGATTATCCTCTCTATTTTCCTCAAATACAATTAGAAAAATAGATAATACTCAAAGGCCTAAAGGTCAACAATCCATTTTTCTATTTCAAATGTTTGAAATCGAGTTCAGTGTGTAGCTGTTTAATTGAAAAGGTGGCGATTTCCATCTAATGAAGACCAATTTGCACCAAAAATAGAAGTTTGGAAACCTAAAAGGCCAGAAAAAATTTGATCGAAAACCCATGAGCTTCATTCATAAAAATTAGGGACAACGGTTGCAACTTGCAAGTTTCCCTTAGTTAAATCAATATTTACTCTTGGAAGATACATCAAGATAATCTCATATATATAATGTGTTTTGTACACAGTAATAGACTTTCTTTCTTTTTTTCTTCAATATCGTCCAAACAAGCCTTTAATGTATTGTAATAGTGAAGTCAGCATTCATAAGAGACCAAGTTAAAAATGTAGATAAACATGGTCCATCTAGAAGCTCCTACATATTCTATATGTCCATTCTTAACCTTGTCCACACAAAATCTCCAAGTCTCGAATTATGCTTTAAACAAGAATTTCTTCCCTCTTCTCATACAATAATAAGATCTTTTCCTTTAATATTTCGACATCAATGGCTTGATTTCCTTGTACCTGTTGAATCCAAACCAACAAGAAGATAGAAGCATTAGAGATTATACAGATAAATGAAGTGGATGAATGTTAATTTCTTGGTCTTTTTTGGGGTAGGGTTTACAAACTTTTAGAGTTTGTGGGATATTTTTCTCTTAATTTATCAAAAAGCCAACTATGACTTCTGGTAAGGTGTACTCTGTGTGTGTGTGTGTTATAAAGATCCAATGATATCTTAAATGCTTGAGCTTTAGAAAATATAGTAAGTACATGTAGATGCAAATTGTAGAAACCCCTTCCATCAAAAGATTCAAAACTAGATGCATTCAATATAAGAATTCCTTCCTGCTCCAATTGCAGTAGAGCTTCAGAAAATGAACCGTTTTCGATCTTCAACTTCGATAATTGAATCACTACATCTCTATCACCTATTCGATTAGCTGAAACAGCTAATACTGAGCTCCGATGATCTGCTGTTCTTCTTTGCTTCCTATAATATTGAATAGAATTTTCTTGCTTAGAAATCTTTGCTACAAGGTTTTCCTTCTTTTCGAGTAGTCTCTCAACTTCTTTCTGCAACTCTGGTATGTATTTCAGCACTCGGGACACTGTCGAGGGGATGCTTAATTTCATCTGCAAAGAAAACTTTATTCAATAGTTAAAAAGTAGGAAAAAACCGTTCGACGTGTTAGCTAGACCTTTGACGAAAAAAGAATTCAACCTTATGCCTAAAAGTACAACTGGAATTTGGATTCACAAATCTATACACAATCTGGAATGTGATTCAACTTCGTATCAGAAGATCTTCTTGAGTTCGAGTCTCATCATTACTTGATTAGGTAAATTTTGCACGTGTAATGCATAAAGGAAGTATCTTTTTCTAAAACCTTAAGCTCTTGGACGAGTTAGTTCAAATGAATTAATTTAAAAAACAAAAATGTTACCCTCTGATCCGCTACCGGAAGCAGTGACCGGAGAGTAGAATACAGCGTATTAATTCTTTTCCGGCGATCACGTTCGCTGGCATTATGGTTGACCTTCTTCACCATCTTCAAATCTCCATCAAAATACAAAGATTCATTACTGTTTCCAGCTTGTATCTGTGATGAAGGACAATGAAGAATACCAATGGAGTCCGATATTTCTGTTCTTTCTCCATACAAATTATCCTGTTCATGGCATATCGGATCCTCCAAAAGCCATCCGAAATTCGAAACGTAAGGGCACATTTCCAGCAGTTTTGAGTCACAAATTTGGATTGGAACTTGGGACTTTGTTTTATAATTAAATGCAGTTTATTAGTTAATCATAATTCATAAAGGTGTATTTATATATACTAATTAGATAATTGATCTCATCATGCACATCAGCATATATATATATACACACACACACACACAAACCAGGAGAAATTTCAAAGGAAAAAAGGTCAGACCATCTCATTAATTAACATCAAAACTTAATTAAGAAATTCAAATACCTCCATATAATTAATTAATTAATTGCAACCCCATATAGAATGAGCTCTTTTTGAATAAATTAAAAGAAATTAATGACAGTTGAGGTTATTCTATTTTCCTATCAGGAAATAATTAATCAATTATTTTAAGTTTTTCTTAATTAATCCAACTTAAGAGCACAAGCAGACTGAGGGCAACCCCGTGCTAAGTATAATTTGTTGATGAAATAATTTAATCATAAGATTTTAATACAAGGCATGCACGAGCTGAACTTTGTTTTGTCACACGTTTGCTCGAGCAAAGCGTTACCAAGCCACGTGAAAACACGCTTTTTTTTTTTTAAAGCATAGATGCAAGCCATACGTCACATCATTCGAATACATATAACTTTACAACATAAAATTGAATAAATTTTATTTTTTCCTCTTCATTTAGCAAAATTTACAAATAATCTATAAACTGTAAAATTTTATTTTCAACCATATATTTTAATAGACTCAAAGTATCTCCAAGAGATTTTTAACACATTCTACAATTTAGAGAGAAATTTTTAAATATTTAATTAGTATCGCTCGAAGAAGATCTTCAATTTGTCGTGATTAGGACACGGTGAGGTATACATAAAACCTAATCGGAGGTGGAACAATCACAACCTAACATTGAAAAATCACAAAACCATTCTTGTAGTTGATATTCCAGCTCAAGAATTAGTCCAATTTAATCATAAAACCTAATCGGAGGTGGAACAATCTCTCTATGATGAATCATTTTTCACAAACCCAATTAAAGACATCCAGTCCAATCCAACATGGACTGGGCCTCTACTAAATATCGGGCCTGGGCCTGTTAGTACAATTAATGGATCGGGCTACAACCCCCACATGATTTAGGGAAAAATTCATAAATAAGGTGTTTAGTTTACACCAATTCAAAAATCATGTTTATAGTTTGAAAATTCAAAAATCAGGTTTTTTTTTGTTTTTTTAATATAATATAATATAATAAACCCACCCCACATGCACCACTCCTACCGCTTCGAGAACTATTTCGACGACCATTCTTACCACCACTCTTCTCCGGCGACCACTCCGATTCCGATGACCATTTGGCGACTATTCCGGCAATCATTCCGGTCACAGATTTATAATTGAATGAGTCACATATTATTTTTCAGTCACAAATACTAATTTTTATACGTCACAGATTATTTAATGGTCATAGTTCAAAAATTTTATAGATCACATTTAATTCGTTGGTCACAGATTTCAAAATTAGTTAGTCACATATCAAAATTTATAGGTCACACG